ACGTGACGTGACATGTGGCCAAGTATGGTGACCCATACTCTGAATTAGTGCTCTGCATTTATCCCATCCAAAGTGCACACAGACAGCAGTGAGCACACACCCAGAGCAGTGGGCAGCCATTTTTATGCTGCGGCGCCCGGGGAGCAGTTGGGGGTTCGGTGCCTTGCTCAAGGGCACCTCAGTTGTGGTATTGAAGGTGGGAGAGAGCGCTGTACATTCACTCACCCCACCTACAATCCCTGTCAGTACGAGACTCGAACCCACAACCTTTTTTTAATAACGACTTTATTAAAAAATATCTTCTTTTCCGTGTCACGACATGCGCGTGGTGCTGCTGACGCTGGCGTTCTGATGTAGAACCCGGATGCGCTGCGGCTTGTTTGCAAGCAGAGGAAGATGCATGTGTAGTGGTACTCTCCTGAATGTGCGTCGAAGACTGGCACGGAAGAGAAGCAATTGTTGAATAAAGTCGTTATTTTTGTTTTCTTTGCGCACAAACAGTATTCTCGTAGCTTCATAAAATTACAGTTGAACCACTGATGTCACATGGACTATTTTAACGATATCCTTACTACCTTTCTGGGCCTTGAACGTGGTAGTTCCCTTGCTGTCTATGCAGGGTCAGAAAGTTCTCATATTTCGTCAAAAATATCTTAATTTGTGTTCCGAAGATGAACGAAGGTTTTACGGGTTTGAAACGACATGAGGGCGAGTAATTAGTGACAGAATTTTCATTTTTGTGTGAACTACCCCTTTAATAATTAATAATAATAAATCTTACTGACAAAATTTTTTTCAAATAACTGTTATTTTGAATTTTCTATTTTTCAAAAAAAAAAAAAGTTTTTTGATGAATAGAAAGTTCAAAATAACATTTATTTGAAATAATTTTTTGTAACATTATAAATGTTTTTACTGTCATGATTTATCAATTTGATGTGTTGTTGCTAAATAAAAGTACTACAAAAACGTAGTATTTCCAAGTTTTTCATTTACACTTTTTTTGTTTTTTTTTACCCCCACAGTCATCCCAAAGTGATAACCTTTGCTTGGTGCGAATAACTCCACGTGAGGACTTGTTTAACTCTCACCTGACTCCCTTAAACGGCAGCACTCTAGTTTTGATGGTGAAACAATGCCTTGCCAAAAGGAGAAGCAGATTGATAGAACAAATTAAGTAAGTTTATGAACTCTGACCTGTATTTTGATACAAACTAGAATTTCTGAGTGAACAAACAGTTCTAAACTAATATAAGAGGGGCTGTATTCATACTTTCCTTTTGTATTCGGTTTTCCAAAGCTCATGGAGTCCTGGCAGTGGATCAGAGCTCATCACAAAGCTCAGCTTCCTTGACGACACAATGACAGGCGACGTTTACCCTGATGAGTTCAAGCATCTGTTTGAGCTAATGGAGCAGTCTGGAAACTTCACTCAGAGCTGGCTTTATGAGGAGACGCTGGAAACCACGAACACTGGTCACGCATAACACCGCCTTGAATGTATTGCCTAAAGAGCTAATCATTGATGAAAAACAAAAGACATTGTTTTATTTGGAGAAAAAACACTGTTTTGCTTAAAGAAACCCAAATCCTTAATGATGGCTGATATTTAGACAGATTGTCTATGAAGGACTTTACATTTTGATAAAATTATATTTAGTAATAAAATGTGGCCGTTTTGGTTGTCATTGACTGCTTGTTAGATACCTTTGGACAAGTTTGGAGACGTTTTTTTGGTATCAAAAAAAGATATTGTTAGATTTTCAGAGAGGTATTGTTGTCATGCTGAAGCTATGAAGCCAATAACCATTAAGTGTGTACTACAAGTACACCAAATACCTGCTTGATCTCTTGGATAGTAAGTAGGAAATGTTACATTTGAACATAACAGAAATAAAACACAATTTGTAATTCTAATGATTACATTACCAAATCCATTAATGATGTAAATGTTCGAAAGTATGTTTTGTTTGTTTGCTTTAAATATGTATTTAAATATATTAATTTTTATTAAACAACAAATAAATGACAGAATAAATGTAAGAAATGAATTGCTTGTTTTTGAAATAATGAAAATAGTCACCCACCTAGTATTATCTATCAGAATATTATGAAGAACCAAACCCCCCCCCTTTATTTTTTTTACTTTTTTTACTCGCTATTTTTATATTTATGAGTTCATTTATTTTTATATTATGAAATGTATATTATGTATACACTAGGGATGTGCATCTCATGACTCAGGCCGATACGATACGACATCTCGATGCATAGCCAACGATACGATACATATGAAGCAGCTACCGATGCGATACGATTCACCCGTTATGATGCAGTGCGATCCGATTTCGATTCTATTCGATTCAACACAATGCGATTCGATGCAATAGGATGCAATGGAGAAAATATGATCACTTTTAATGCCTCGAGGCCTGTTTCA